CCCCAGGACCAGAATCATCCCAACTCGGAAAACAACTTGAAAAGAGATTTACACATAGCCTCACTGGTGAAGAACTGCAGAATCCGTGTGCCACCAAAGCATTTTCTCTCTTCAGAAGATGGAAAGGATGTCCTAGCTGTACTGAACATCATCCCTCCACAGGCCCTTCCCATTGGTGAGCAACCAGAGCTAATCACTGAATGTGGAGAGGGCTTTCAAACTAGCAAAGACTGTTCCAAGCAGGGTGAACGTCGAGAAGAAGCTCCTAGCCGAAAACACACCCGGGCTCACCACCCGAGAGCCACTGCTGTAACGTTTAGCAGCCTTTCTGAATCTCCTAAACGTGGGAGAGGCCGGCCCCGCCTCTCTCTTACTCATCAGAGGTCTTACAAGTGCAGTGAATGTGGAAAAACTTTTAGACAGACCTCGCACCTAAACAACCACCTCCGAATTCACACAGGGGAAAAGCCTTACAAGTGTGGAGAATGTGGGAAGTCATTTACCCAAAGAGATACTCTGATTAAACATTACAGAGTTCACACTGGAGAAAAACCCTACGTGTGCGATGGATGCGGGAAATCCTTTCGGCAAATTTCCAACCTTACCGAACACCGCAGGATCCACACTGGAGAAAGACCTTACGAGTGTGACGAATGTGGCAAATCATTTGGATCCAAATCAACTCTCGTCCGGCACCGAAGAATTCACGGGGCTGAGAAGCGTTACCAGTGTGACCAGGGTGGCAAATTCTTCACACAGAGCCGCAGGCTACTTGCACACCAGGTGACTCACGGTGGAGCAAGGCCTGATGGCTGTGGTGAGAATGACAGCTCCTTTAGCCAAGGAGACACCCCCAAGACACACCACGAAGCTCACACCTCCGAAAAGCCTCATGTCTGTGGCGACTGTGGGAAAGCATTCATGTACAAATCTAAGCTTGCTCGACACCAGAGATCTCACACGGGGGAGAAACCGTTTGAGTGCGAAGAATGTGGGAAATCCTTTCAAGAAAGCAATGGTCTTATGCAACACCAGAAACTGCATACTGGATTAAAGCCTTTTAAGTGTGGCCAGTGTGGTAAGTCTTTTGTCCAAAAGTGTCACCTCTTTCAACACCATGTAGTTCACACAAGAGAAAGGCCGTATGAGTGTGGGAAATGTGGGCAATCTTTTCCTCAACAGTCTACCCTCTTGCTCCACCGGAAAGTCTCACACCATGGAGAGGCTCCATGAAAATTACATGCAAACATAGCTTTAGTCCAAGGTCTACTATCTCTCAAAAGTTTAGACTGTGTTCAAGAAGACCTGGACCTACAGGAAATGTTCCTTTGTATTTTTGTTTGTTTTTTAGTATTAACTCTTATAATGGAACTACTTGCCTGAAGTTGAATCTTAGGTTTTCAAACATCCAGGGTGTTTTTATTCCCTGTGAGATCAGGCATGGGTGGGGTTTACAGAAACTGCTCCATACAAGCTGAGGTGATTCGAGTCCTCGTCTGAGTTATACTCAAGCCGTTTGCTCTGATGGAAAACATCTTCCTCTGTCAGCCTCTCAGCTTGCTCATTGTGCGTTGGTCTCCCCAACATACTAAGGCAAGGTAACCATCTGATGGCTCCCTGGAGGAAATCCTGAGCAAAGTCTTAAGGCGAGCATGTTTCTATTTTTGTGTTTGTTGTTTTTTCTAAGTGGTAGAAACATTCATCTGTCAACTTGTGACTCCCAACCTCTAGTCGGTGCATTAATAAATGTGTTTCCTGATGAGTCTACCTGTAGTCTTTGGGATTCTTTTTAGGATTCTCCGTGGGAGGAGACAAACTTGAACTAACTATGCATGGACCAGCAGCTTTTGGGGGGATCCCACTTTGTCTTGTAAGTACAGCAGAGCCAAAATTAGTTCTCATTTCTTCCTTATTTAGTTTTCTGTATAAGACCTAGACATGTAGGGCTTTGTGATCTAAATTTGTGGCCTTCATACTTTCATTTTGGTGAAAACTGGGGTTACTGAAGAAGGTTTATTTTTTCTGCCCTTCTAGTGATAGCATGAATTTGTTCAGCTCCTGTACAGTCACATAAAGGAGAGGTTTTTACCCCCTTTATAAGGAGTTCAATGTCCTCCTGTCTAGAAATTCACATTTGATTGGGTTTCTCATGTAAGAACCATGTTAAGAACCAGATGTGACCCCAAATTGGAAATATAATAGTGGGTGTAAGAAACAGAAAATGGAAAGAACTTTACAACGAAATGAGTGAACTCCGCCTGTTGTAAAAATTTATCATAAGTCTAGTGACTGTCTTCATCTATTTCTTCAGCCTCCTTACATGGTTTAGGAATGTACGTATAGCTTTGTTGTGTAACTGTTAACTGTGAAATTGAAAAATTCCATCCTGACGAAGGAAGGAAGCTGAGACAAGTCAAAATAGCTTCAGAGGGTCCTTGAAACTGAGTGGATTCCCTGGGCCCCTTCTTCCTAAGAGTAAACAACCCAAGCTTCAAAGAAGATTGAGGCTAGACTAGCTGCCTAGAAAAGCAGAATCAGCCCAGTTGCCTGGAAGTTTCCACCAACTGAGTCACTTGAAAAGGACACTTGCTAGGAAAGATTCCACTCACCCCCAAGGCCAGGTTCTCAGCACAAATGAGCTTTATCTTCCCCAGAGGGACATAGGGCAAGGAGTTAGAGACAAATACAGGAGATAGAAGAAGAGGGGAAGGGGAAATGGGGCTGGGATATTTGTCCTTAGTGGAACAAAGTAGCCTTTGGATAAAGGGGAGATGGGTGTGGCACTAAGGAAAATGGTAGTTTATAAAGAAAAATCTGGAAACCTCTGTGCAATGATGTGTTAAATTTTAATTGGCCATGTTAACTAGGTGAGCCAAAGGGGGCTTCTGGTTGTTAGACTTAAATACTTTGATAGCTGGACTTGGTTGTCAACCCCAAGAGGAGGAAGGCGCCAAATAAGGGAATCAGCCTTGGGGGCATTGCTGTCCAAATGTGATATAATGGTTTATAGCCAGGCAAAGGGAAGGGGTGGAAAAGAAAAGTGTGGCCTGTCAGAGCCATGCTAGCCAAGCTCACCATGCTCAACCTGGCTACAGTCTTCAACATGTTGAGTTGGCTTTTGCTATTGGTATTTTTTGTTGCTTTGTTTGACTTGGAGTTTTGATATGCAGCCAGGCTGGCCCCAAAATTAATGATTCTCTTGCCTCCAGTGACATGTACTGGAATCATATGTTTTACTTCTTCAAGAGGGAAAACTAGGGCCATTTGTTTGGTCCAGAGATTGGCCGATGCTAAATACGCAAATACAGAAACACACAGAACTTGTTCACAAGCTAAAAGTCTCAGAATTGCTTAAACTCTGTTCACTTTTGGCAGTTGGGGACTGAGGTTACTTTTAACCTTAGCTTA